AGCCAAGGCTGCATGTGACATTTCGTGGCACCAACCACTTTAAATGTTACTGACATCAATCGGGTTTTTAAATGTTACTTGCATCTCATATGGATCAGGAAATGGTTTTATAATTATCTCCTGCTCTCTAAATGCACTGAGAGATTTTCACATTGTTGTTCTTTTAAAATTTCTTGATCACAGTCAAATTAAATAACAATATATATTTACATTCCTAAACTGTAAGAGATTGATTAAATAAATAAATAATTTTACAAGAAAACAAGTTTTGTGACATGCACAGGCAGCTCTGGTATGTTAACAAAGGAGATTCTAAAAGATGGTTTTAGAATACTTTTGCACAACTGTAATTAGATTATAACTGCAGCTCAAGTCACTGCAAAATAAATATCAGAAGAAATTATCAAGCAAATGTGAGATTTTTCTGACTAAAGATTGAGCTGAAATTATTTTTGAACTAGTAGCTTAAACAAAAACATTTATTTCTATCATCTTCCTAAGAAATAATCAGTATGTCTAATTAGTAACATTTCTATTGCCAATTTAGAATACAGTCCTTTTGGCTCCTCATAACCAACCTGGGAAGATTAGTAGTGTTTAGAACTAAATCTTTGTCCAATAAAAGCAAAGTTGGTTCTAGCCAAGAGCTTGTTATAAACCTGCTTTTGGAAACTGGAAGGAATGTCACATTTAAGGACACAAATTTCCCTGATAATATATTCAGATAGAAATGCATTGAATCCACTACATACACTAGCATAACTAATAAATTTGCAATATTTCAGCCTCAACAGCCTACAATGGTTCATTTTAAAGATTTATGTGGTAAAAAATTACTCAGAGATGAATGGAGTTTATTCTGTGCCAGATTGGGAGGTATAAGGAATTAAACTACTGTCTTTAACAGTGCATTTATTATTACCTCTGACAAAGAATGAAGACTTTTACAGGGTCCATGATAAATTTCTACATAAAATAAACAGGGTGGTGGAATTGCGTACATGCAACTACACATATATTATATCTAAATATTGCATTAACACAAGAAATTGGGCATGGTTTTGCATTTGAGGTTACTAAGGATTACCTAGCACAACGAAGGAGATAATTTAGAAATGAACTGACTAAAAGTCCCTTATTATATAAGGCACTCTTATAATCTAGAAGAGATCTTTAAATGAAAGATTGTGTCTAGAAATAATAAGCAACCCTTACAACATCTATTAAAATGTTTATGTGTTATTGGAAAAGAATAACAGAGTGGGCACATTTTGGCATAGTTTTATCCAGCTGAGATCAATTAAAAATTACAATTCCATCGTCTCTGGAGACAAAGGAAAACTTCAAAGAAAGTCACATGGATAATTTTCTGGATTCTGGTATTCTATTCCAACTCAAAGGAAATGGAATTTAGGAAGTGAAAAAAGGACAAACTACTTCTTAAGCACGTATCTTACTCATTAGGACGCAGAGATTTCCTCAATATGTCAGACCTATAAATATCTCACCCAGCCATCCTTAATGGTAACTAAAATCTGTTTCTTCATTGCCTCATGATAGGACCATCCCTGACCTAGAGTTCACACTTTTTTTTTTTTTTTTTTCTATATAAAATTTTTATTGTTTTTATCATAAACAAAAAAATACATTACAAGTATTACTCAATGATTTATCCCATCCCCCTACCCCCCAGACTTCCCAAACCAAACCTAGGCTAACATTCAACTACAAGTAAACAAGTATTAATATCTCTAACTCCAAACTCTAAACTTAAACAATCCATCTNCATTTAGAACCCTTAATAAGGTTTACCACTTCAATTACTTAATTATCATTCAATTATTTTCAGTTATTACAACATTATTATATTTATAATAATCTTCCTTTTAATAAAAATTATTCCTTTAATTAATTCTTCAATACCCAAAATCTTTACCATTTCAACAAAAAAAAGAAGAAAAAGAAAAAATTCCCACTTCCATAAATTTAACAAGTAAATTCTGTCATTTCATCAAACTACACCTATAAAAAATCATTTAAAACCCTTAATAAGGTTTACAACTTCAATCTTAGTTATCAGAGTTCACACTTGAAGATCATAGATGGAAGATTAGTTTTAACAAGCTTTAAGCCCTCTGTCAAAGCCAAATAATAAAAGATGGATTTTCCCCAAGACTTTCAGTGCTTGCTTATCAGTGAATGGGGATTACAATCCAAATTAATGATTTGGTTAAATAAGCAGGTGGTTGTGAGTTCCTCCACATTAATTAATATTCAGTATCAAAGTGCATTTGTATGTATGATGTATAGCTTTGTTGCTTATTATTTGAATGCCAATGAAATGTACCGTATAGCTGAAAGTATAGGATTTGAAATCAGCATGAAAGAGACAGAAGTTATGTGTGAGTTTTGAAAATGAATATTCTGAAGATTATTTCATATTTTTGAACTGCATGATATTGTTGCAATCAGGGAAATCTCAGTGATAAAAACGTGGATTCCCCATTTTTTCAATGCTCTTCCTTTAATATTAAATGGGGGGCAGGGCCACATTTTTTAAAATGCAAATCTAGTGAAGGTTGTTTCTTCTGAATCAGTTAACATCTATGGATTAAACAGCATTCCTCTTCTTAAATACAGTGGGATAGTCTGACAATTTGGGAGGCAAAAATAATAATAAGAATGCTTATATTTTCAGAAGAATAGTCATCTTACTGTGCATGGCATAAAATAAAACCAGAATTAAAGGGAAAGAAGGGGATTTCAATGTTATAGACAGATATTAATTTTAGAATGCCACACCCATAGGGCAGTAATGGGTTATTACTGGGGTGGGATCACATTATTTCATCTTTGCCTATCCTGGCCCCACATAATCTTTCTCTCCTTATAGAAGACTATGTGTAGAAAATTACATGGGAGAAATGAATCGTCTGGGGGGTTTATTTCTGGATGGTTGGTTCTTGTCTGAGTATGAAGATGAAGGGGGCTGTGGTAGGGGAAGCTCTCTGAAGGGGGGAACATGAGGTGGGAAATAGCCTTAAGCCTGAATTTGACCGGTGTATGACCGTTGCCTTCTAGCTGACCTCAGAATCTATTCCCAAGCATTTCTGATTCTATAGTCTCCTGTCCCCATGGGGGTTATTAATGGAAAAAAAACCCACCATCCTAGCCATCTTTTCATTGCAATGCAGCTTATTAAGAATGACACGATGGGGATATAGATAGAAGGAAGAGAATATATGTATGGGTTTTAACAGGCACTTGCCAAAATGATCTTAGTTGAAATGAACGTTCATAGCATCATCTGATCATTCTCCCCCCCCCCCCGCTGCCGCCTTTCCCCCCCAGATCTAATGCTTTGCATCTGACTCCTCATTCCCACAAAAAGACCACTAGATGTCACCCGCCGCCTCCTCTCACTTCAGGGTCTATGGAAATAAGATTGTACTTTAAAGCAACAGTTCAGAATTAATAACACTGGAATGTTTTGTTTGTCTTATCACTTCCAACACACACACACACACACACACAGAGAGAGAGAGAGAGAGAGAGAGAGAGAGAGAGAGAGAGAGAGAGAGAGAGAGAGAGAGAGAGAGAGAGAGAGAGAGAGAGGTAGATAGATATCAATTTTAAAATACAAAAAACTTCTGTCTTGATTTATGGGGTGGGAAAAAGGGTGCTCCATGATTACAAAGCTGTGGCATTCTCTGAGTTCCTTAAACTGGTGCCCTCTAGTATTGAGTTACAGTTCCCATCATCGCCAGCCAGCATAGTTGTTACTAGAGATGATAGGAATGGTCTGAGTATCATCATTAGATTTTCTGTTGTTTTCCTTTTGTATTTTAGATTCTTAATTTTGCCATGGAAAATTATTTCCAAATACAAACATTAAGTTTCTTGAAATATAGCAGGGTTTGATGGGTGGCTGAGGATTTTAAAAAATAAGGGTGGCCTGGAATGACAATTAGAAGCTTTCCAGTATGTGAATCATACAATGGGAAAAGAGATGAAGGTTAAACCATCTGCTTGCCACAAAACAAAATAATCTATTTATCAGTCTCTGGCTATAGTAAAGATTACTTAACAAAATGCAGCCTGTTACTCCTCAGAATTCTGGAGGAATAAAATAATCTCCTTTGACACACTAAGTGGCTCTCCAGAACAAAACATTCTAGACCATTCTACAAAGATATTCAAAATACAGTTTTCAGGGCCACAAGCCATCCTGATTTGTGAAGAACATCTTATTGACTAAAAAGGTCCCAGTCACTCCACTCTGAACATGCCCAAAACATGTGATTGAAAATTATTCTAAATATGACATCAAGCCAGGAATGCCACAACCAGGCATTTGGCATAAAACTGCAACCATTCCTATCATCCAGATTCATTCAAATATTACATTTTTAAGTATATAGTTAAAAAGAAACATACTTAGAAGTGTATTAATCTTTGATCCCATCAGCTATTGACAGTATCCCAACTAGGGACATAGACTGCTTTTTACAATCATCCGAATCTGTAAAATAATGGTAATGAAGATGAACTTACATTGTCTCATTGGCTATAGGAACTGGGGAATTATAGGGGAATATATTCTCCCATGATTGTTTTGCTCTGGTTTTTATTCATTATTTTTTTAAAAATGTCCCCAGGAAGTTACAATACTTACCTAATTTCAACTGATCTTGAAAAGCTAAATAAAGTATGACTTAGTATCTGGATGGTAGATCATCAGGAAATACCAGGGCTGTGAGCTAAACTGGGAAGGGTGTCTAGGAGTTCAGGGGTGGCAAACAGAAGAAAACAATAGTAACAAAATGCTGCCAAGAAAATTACAAGGATCTATTTGTAATTCCCAGGATTTGAGCTCTCAAGTCTTTACAGTTCTGAGGGCTTGGCTGAATTCAATTGCATATGATATTAATAAATTCCTTAGACATAGGTACACTGGATACCTGTAGAGAAATCATTGCTGGCCTAATTCATAAGCCTCATCACTCTGTGCCAGTAATACTCTGATTCATTTCTAGTTCATAATCCTTGTAATAGATACCAGTTATTGATATCTCAATGAATGATTTGCAAAGTGTTTTTGAACTCCCTAAAAGGTATAGAAACGAACACTTATAGCAATACATCAAACTGTTCTGTTGTAAAATTACCTGGAGGAATGCAGAGCAGGTCATAGTTGTACTAACCAACTCTTAATGCAATGCAGTTGTAAGGTGAAGTTGTAAAACGAAAGAGATGGTTCTTTAAAGAAAAAAAAAATCAGGGACATCTGGTAACACCAGGGCCAAGCCCAGTTGACAACACTGGCAAAGTTTGCTACAAGCCCCTAGTGTCATTTAAAAGCACCTGAGAATGCAAGCTGATTTAGGTTGTTGAGCATAACCACTGACTGTTCTGTTAATGGTGCTAGTGAGGAGCTCCAGAACAGCATTATCAAAGGCACAAGAGATATGTTGATGCCTTAACACCTCCAGGTTGGCTGTGCTCAGTGAAATTGTCCAGGTTTTAATGCTGGAGCCTCAGCAATAAAAAGGAATGATTAACATTTTTTAAAAGGGAAAAAATATCAAACCAAAATGGAAGCACATGATATTGCCAAACATAATTCTGAGATCTTAGGGACCACATTAGGTAGAAATGCTAGGAATTCCTTGATCAAGGCTGGAGCTTACAAAGGACACCTACAGTAATTATATACCTATTTGGAAATGTTGAGCCAAAGACAGTTTTGACATAAGACTATGACCCAAACTGAAGCAAAATCCATTTTAAGTCATACAACTACTTCAAATGCCAGTGATTGGGAATCTTAAAAAGCAAAGATCTACTCCAAACTCCAAGCATAGCAGATTGCTATAGTATCTAAGAGACTGTGTGACTATAACTATAGAGAGCTAATTGGGAATGAAGATTAAAGATATATACCTTTAAAATGTAATTGATATACTTTCACCTTCTCATTATGGCAATCGTAAGAAAAGTTGCAAATTTAGAAGAAGAAAGGAGGGATGCACTTAGCAACTTAAAGGGAAAGTTATTTCACAGATTTATTGCAGAAAATGTTTGGGCAATTTGGCAAAAAGAAATTACTTTAATGGTTGCCAATAGTTTGGTTACTTTAAAAAAGGAAATAGAAGTAAGATTTGTAAAAAAAAAGATAAGAAAGAAGCAAAGAAATTGAAGAATCTGTAGGACAATTGGTTGGAGATCTAAGACAAATTACTAACATAGTGGAAGTTTTGGAAACTAAGACAGAAATTATAAATACAGAGATGGAGAAAGATTTGGATAATTTTGCATTATTGGAACTGAAAAAATTGATTTAGTTTAAGATTTGTAGCAATTCCTTAAAAAACATGGAGAAAATATAAAACAAAAGCTTGTTAAACCTATCTAATTTCCTAGGTTGGGAGGAAGACGACACTATCCAAGACCGATATGATTTGTATGATTAATACATATTTTGCAAAATTAAAAAATGTTCCAAGGGATGTCCTTGTGCACTTTGTTAGGAAAAAGATTAGATATCAAAGTTTGCAGCAGCATTTTAATACTAGACTGGGGATTGATGAAGCTATTGTGCTTAAGTAAATTCCAAACACAATACTATGTAAGTTAAAAAAGGTTTTTTTTTCCCCTGATAAACTTAAACAAGATTTCATTTGGCTAAGAAAGGATAGTTTTTCCCCTTTTAAATGGCAGAGATTTAGACTAAACTCTATTCAGAAAAACAAGAGATATTTTTGAGAAAATTTAAAGAAGAATTGGAGGAAATACAATGGAAGTGACAATGACAGATGCAACTAAACAAATGTTACAACAGATACAACAAAATAGCGAAGAGGATTCCACATTGGGTTCTACAGGGATTGACTTTTTTAAAGTATTGCCTAATTATGGATAAATGCTTAATGTAAAATACAAATTGAGCAAATGCTTCTAAAAGAGAAAAAATCATTAATGGAAAAAGTTAAAACAATATATGATTTACTTACAAAAATACATATTAGGAAAAAGATGTAAAATATTTGAATCACAAAACTTTGGATGAAGAATTTATTTCAGCAGGGATGAAAAAGGAGTTACTTGCATATAAATTCTCATCTATATCCAAAACTCATATTGATCGATAATCATGGCAGATATGTTGGAGTTGACATTAATCTACATGGGACTAAGACTTTGATATTAGGAATTTATGTACACAGTCAAGATTAAATAGTATTTTAGAAAGGACCTAGACAGATTATTGGATTTTCTGTATGAAAATTGGTGTTTCCTGGGAGATTGGAATGAAGTTGCTTCCCCACAAAAAGGACAGAATTTTTGAGAAAAAAATTAAAATATACGATTTTTAAAATATATATATCTAGGGTAAATTACCATTTTTTAATTTAATGGAATTTGGAATGTTGATATATATGGAGATATAAAAATTGTGGTTTTTTTGAAAGACATATATCTTTTTCAAGAATAGATATGATTTGGATTTTTAAGAGGTTGGCTATTAAAAGTGTAGATGTTACCAAATACAATTTTGGATCACAATGCAGTGACTTTAATTTTTAAAAGGGGAAATGGTTCTTTTAGGCGGAGACTGGATGTGAAACTTTTAAAGGAAATTATAACATAAAATAAAAAAAATTCTTAACAATCAAAAAATTATCAAAATTCTGGCAGCTACATTTTCTGTGTTAGTACTTCTGTGTTAGTACTTCAAAACTAAAATCATCCTTCTAAGAGGACACTGTTTATATCACATTAACATGTACAAATGACATCCAGATATGGGTGGATAAAGTCAATATATTTCAGGATTTGAATATCTACATTATTTTTTATTTAAAGATTTATTTTACAAAATAAGTAATAATGCATTATTATTGTATTTTACAAAATAAGTAATAATGCATTATTATTGTATTATTCCCATAATTTTTGCCAAAAGTAACTTTTATATCTTGTAATATTTTGATTTGTCTTTAGAAATTCCACTATTTAACTACATGTCCAATGACAAATGCAAACCATTAAGGATCAGAGACCTTGGAAAATATATTTTCCTACCTCTCCTCAAATATTCAATATTTGGATTGGATTCAGATTTAGATACAATGGATACTAGCTCAACGGCTATATTTTTTTTAATTCTAAAAAAAGGCTACATTTGGACTACTCTCCTTTTTAGGTACAGATGCATAATATTTAAAAGGATGTTTTATAAATGTAAAATATGATGCCCATACCAATTCTCATACCAATGATTCACATACTAATTCTTATGGAACATCATGCTTAGTGATGATGCCAGTGTTAACTGAACTGCAAGAATAACGGTTATGATGTTGACATACAGGGAACAAAAATGCAAACACCCTTTTCAACCTGAAAACCTGTATCAATTGCAGAGAAACTAAGTAAGGGGAGGGGAAACTAAAATTCCACCCCTTCCCAATGCTTTTTCTCAACAGGATTATTTTTCTGTTTAAAAAGGGCTATTAAAATATTTGCTGCACATTTTTTATGCAGTTTTCACTAATCCAGAGCCTTTCAGATACTTTGAACATATACAACTGCTAGGATACTTAAAATATGAATTCCACATATTAGGAGACATCAGATTGGGAACGGCTGTTATTGTGTATAATGGTTAATATAAAGATTCCCTTGTCAAATTAGCCACTTAGTGGCTAACCAAGGATCATTGATATGAAAAATAACTCATGTTATTAGGGAAAAATCACATTACTGTATGCACACAAAAGCAGAATTTGAATCTTCATGTTTCTATCTTGTTTAATGAAATTTGCATTTGGTATTGTGGGATGCAATGTAAAATGCCATTTCAAATTTCAATAGCAGAACAGATTATTATTATTATTTGATTGGGATTACCTTAATGGTGAAAAGAAAGAATCTACCTTCCATAAAATCTAAAGTTATAGTAAATATACGAGTTTAATTTAGTCAGCCCCCTCCTTGCCCCATACCATAATTGAACAGGTCGTTCCTATTTTCTGTTGAATCATTGCCAACTAAGCCTCCCCCCCCCTTCTTTCCCATCCCAAAATCACATCTCCCCATGGCTGATGCATGAAATGTCAGGCAGGACCTTAGCAGCAGACGCATGCATTCCAAATAACACCAGATGGATTTTTATATTAGCTACTAATTCATGTTCAAGGCACAGCAACCATACTGCGTTTTTTTTTTAAAGAAAAAAAGAAAAGAAAAGAAAAAGCAAGCCTCGGCGCCTCTGCCACACTTGCTTCGGCAAGATTAATTCTGCAAAATTAATTGGGACAAGATTGAGAAGGAAATTAAAATGCAGCTGAGTGAACAGGTTTTTCAAACACCCTTTTCTCTTCTTCTCTCAACCCACTTGCTTGCCACTCTCAGCAACCCTCCCAAGCTTTATTTTACCTCTACTTCTTCAATAATTATAGGTGAGCACTATTGCCTCATAAAATCATTTTTGAAAGAAAAACACTCATGAGCGCTTGGCTATTCCCAAGGAAGATGTGATGGAGCTCCATGCAAAGAAATTAAAACCAGGTCATATTCTTGGGTGGTAAGGGAAGGAAAGCAGGAAGGCAACGTTTACTAGTCTAGGTCATATTACATGAAGCAATGTCTACTTCTCAACCATGGCAACTTCAACTCCCATAATTTTCCAGTCAGTGTGTCAAAGTCCACCATCCTAAATTTGCCCAAGCTTGAGAAACACTGATCTACATGATAAAAATGTCTTCCTTGGAGCATTAAATTCAAAAGACAAGTTAATATTATAAAGATTAAATATGGAAGGGTTTAAGAATGCATTTTGAGATGGCATATTCTTGAAAGCACGTTTTGAATACAAGATGATCCTATATTATTAAAAAGCCATCACTTCATTATTTGAAAAAGTTCATCCTCTGAAATTATAAGAACTGGAAAATTGTTAAAGTATTTCCAATAAGTAGTTGCATGGAACCCAAAGAATAAGAAGCACTCATATTGATATTAATGAAGTAAAATACACCTCTGAATTAAAATGCCCTTGTTCCTCACAAAGGATTAGAGAGAAAGAATTCTGTCCTCTGTTAC